GACCTGTTCATCTCAGTTAGTTTGCTTTTTTATCTCAGTATGTCCATTTGGTTCTTTTAAAAAAGTCTCTCTCTTTTAAAAAAGCTATTCTGCACTAACTGGATCATGGTTCTTGTTCCTTTCATTCTTTCGACATGATTTCCTTTAGGTCCTTGAATTAACGTGGGATACCTGGATTAAGTCCTCTCTCTCTAGAAATCCAACATCTGGGCTTCCTTGGGGGCCGTTTTGATTGGTTGCTCTCGTTCCTGTGGATGAGTTAGACTTTCGTATTTCTTCGTGTGTCTTGTAATCATTTTTAAAAACTGGACCCTCAAGGTTTTGTCAACAGTCACAATCTGGGCCCCCTCCTTCTTCAGAGTGTTGCTACTTCTAAATGCTATTGTTGTCATCTGTTTGCTGTTGTGGCTGTTTTCTTGTTTAGGGACGTTCCTAGACGAATGCTGAAAAGACTGTGTTCTTTGGCATAGAAAGAGAGTCGTGGGTGTTTCTGCTCCCTTAATTTGTGGTCAGCGAATGGTTGGACAGAAATTTCTTAAATTAGCTTACCCCAAACCAAATTCACTGCCATGGAGTCCGTTGTGACGATAGAGACTCCATAGGACAGAGTAGAACTGCCCACGTGCGCTTCAGAGCTTGTAAATCTTTACGGGAGTGGAGAGCATCATCTTTCTCCTGCAGTTTTGTACAGCAGTCCAGCTGTCCTTGTGGTTAGCAGCCCAATGCACAATCAGCTACATCAGCAGGGCTCCTTAAACCTGTACATTTCCCAGGCTTCTGGAGTGTCTCTGTGAATCTGCTGGACTTGCCTTCAGTGTCCTAGCAGACCATTTAAAACTCTTCTTGAGCAGAGCCATGAGTTTCAACAGAGACAAGAGCTGAGAGTCTTCTCAGGTCCTTCTTGGGCCCAAGTGCAGCTCTGGGCATGTACACAACCCAGTTCGACCGTACTGCCATCCCAGGAAGACGTCTTCAGAGCCCCCGCGGCCCCCCTCCCCCCCCAGAGCATCTGATATCTCACTTTTTCCTCATTTTTTTTGGACCAGTTTCATGTTAGCCCTAATGAGTTAGGTAGGTCAACTTCACACATCTGTAATGTTCAATGTGATTTTTAATGGCAATCTGTTCCAACCCATGATGATCCCACATATGCTGAGTAGAATTGCTCATGGGGGTCTCAAGGCTGGAACCCTTTGGAAGCTTATCATGAGGTCTGTATTCAGAGTGGATTTGAGTTACCAACCTCTGGCCAATACTACATAACTCTTTGTACCACCCAGGGACTCATGCATTAAATAACTGCCACCACCTAATTTCAATGGTTTGGATAGGGCTGTTCACACACAGGGTACTCTGAGTTCTGCTATATAAAGAGAATTCAGCTTTTCAGCGAGGTGGCAGACCATCAAATACTGACATCTGTCTGGGGAGGGGCTTATGGGGAGCACTAAATCCCGCCCCCCTTTCTGGTGGTTGCTAGGTTTCTGGTTTTTACAGCCCTCAGAATTGTTGGCTCTTAAAGCTGCCAGGGAAGAGGAAAGAGGGGGATGGAATTAGGGCAGGTTAACATGTCACGAAGTTCTCTGTCCTTCTGCAGACTCAGCTGTTTTTCTAAGATAAGCCTTCCTCAGATGGTGGCAAGTCTTTAAGACCTTCTGAAAAGTTGGGTTTCCGAGTTAAAGATGTTCATAGTAAAGGAAACAGACTGGCGTTTGCCACTGTGGGGAGAAAAAGGACGGGAAGATAAGCAGTGGACTACACCCACGTTAGCCTTAAGTTGGGTGGGATAGAAGGTGGTAGTTCACAAGAGGGGGAAGAGAAATCAAGAAGCTGTTGGGGAGTAAACTATTGGGGGGGTGTTGATTAATGGTTTAAACTATTAAATGCTTATTTGCCACTGTGGGGAGAAAAAGGACGGGAAGATAAGCAGTGGACTACACCCACGTTAGCCTTAAGTTGGGTGGGATGGAAGGTGGTAGTTCACAAGAGGGGGAAGAGAAATCAAGAAGCTGTTGGGGAGTAAACTATTGGGGGGGGGTGTTGATGAATGGTTTAAACTATTAAATGCAAATTTGTTGTTCTGGAATGTAAATCCTCACTTAGAAAGAAACAACAGCAAAGAAACATTGGTTTTGATCACAATTGCCACTCCTCTCATTGCTTTCATGGAGAAACGGGCTTTGTGGGGATCTCATTCTACCAGGAATTACTGGGTGGTGCAAATGGTCAACACTCTTTGCTACCTGAAAGACTAGTGGTTCAAGTCCACCCAAAGGCAGCTCAGAAGACAGGCCTGTTGATGTGCTTCGGAAAAATCAGCCATGGAAAAGCTCTGGCACACACAATTCACCTTGAAAAAGCTTCTGGCACACACAATTCACCATGAGTTGGAATCAAACTTAGTTTTTTCCCCCAGTTCAAATGAACATTTATTGAGTACCTATTAAATGGCATGTGGTTAAGGAATGTACATGTACAATACCCTTCACCTCTGAGCCTAATTTTCTCTTCAGTGGTGGACTATGTTTCACTGGTAACTGACTTGTAGAATCCCTTCAAGTATAATGATAGCCTTTTTCTGAAGTTCATGGTCTTCTTTGAAAGCATGCAGTAGCAATTTGGGGGTCCACCAGTAATGTAAAAAATATGCTAAGGAAGCATTTTCTGGAAAGGCACTGGTCTGGTCTATGATCTTGATGGCTTTGGTTTTGTCCTGGAAGTTGGTGGAGACCTCGGTGGCTTTGGTCTCAACTTGAAAGCTGGTGGTGGCTTCGATGATGACACTCCACGTGGGACAAGTCACAGCCAGAGCCACCGGGGCACAGGCGAGAATGGTCCCAGTGGTCCACGGGCTCTCAAAGGGAAGAGGCACTCACTGGAATCCACCAGAACCAATTTGTTCTTTCTTTCTTTCTTTCTTTCTTTCTTTCTTTCTTTCTTTCTTTCTTTCTTTC